CACACACTGGGATTCAAGCCTGCAACCCGGGCATGTGCCCTTGGCCGGAATTGCACCTGGGACCCTTCAGTCCACAGGCTGATGCTCTATCCACTGAGCAAAACCGGCCGGGACCCGAAACCATTTTTGTACATGGATGACCCCTCAACCAATTGAGCTACCTGTCCAGGGCCTCCATTTAGTGTTTGGAGTTATTCCAGAATTCTTTCCAAGTTTACTTTATTAAATGATTCTAACTCCTTTTCTGCTTTCCTTTTTATATATTTAATTATCTGTTTTGAAGATTGTTTGCTTTCATAGATCCTTATCAATTAAGTGTGAGTGCATGCCAGGAGAGAAAAGGGGGAAATATATTTGAATAGGGGAGGCTAAAGAAGGAAGGAGAACTTCTGGTTGAATGTGTGTTATTTTCCTTGTGTCATTAAAAACAAACATGAATTCATTAATTCAACTCTAAAAAACAAACACTATTCACTATTCTAGGCACTGAGAATAGGAAAATGAACAAAAAAGCCAAAAACCATGGGTAACTTCGTCATCTAACTTTTAGTGGAGGTAGGGGAGAGAAAGATAATATACAAGATAAGTAAGTAGAATATATGGTCTATTAGGTGGAGATAAAAACTGTAGAGCAAAATAAGGGAGAAATTTGGGTTGGAAATTAGTTGGAATTTCAGGTTGGGTACCACATGAATATCTCTCTAAGAAGACAACATTTGAGTAAAGACCTGAAAGAAATGTTGAATGTATGTCATGCAGTTATCTAAGAAGAGTGATTCAGGCATGTGAAACCACAATGTGAAGGTCATAAGGCAAGTTTGTACCTGTCATGTTCAAAGAATAGAAAGGAGGCCAGGTTGGAGGGGAAGAATAGGATAAGGTGAAGCAGGGAGATCAACAGGGACCAGATCACGTTGAGCAATAGTCAGCAAACTCCAGCCTACCTGTTTGTGTAAATAAACATTTTGTAAATCAAGTTATAATGGAACATAGCCATAGCCATTTTTTTTACATACAGTCTGTACTGCTTTCCCACAAAGTTGAATGGTTGTACTAGAGACTGCCCTTTACAAAAATATTTTTCCAACCCCTGAGGAGTATCAGCGCTGTTCAGTTGAACTTTCTGCACTGATGGAAACATTCTGTGTGCTGTTCAAATAGTAGCCACTAGTATTATGTGACTATTGAGCACTTGAAATGTGGCTTGTGTAATGGAGGAACTGAATTTTTAATTTTTATTTAATTCTAATTTAAATGTAAAGTAGCCATATGTCATTACTGGCTACCACATTGAATAGTGTAGTAGGCTATTGTATATAGATTTAGGATTTTATTTGGTATAAGATGAGAAATAATGAGAATTTTGTAGAAGTGAGTGATATGACCTGACATGTTTTTGTTTGATTATGGTAGCTGTGTTATGCATTAATTGAAGGGGACATGGTTAGAATCTAGGACCAGGTGGGAGGCCATTGAAATAGGCCAGGTGAGAGATGATGGTAGGTAAGACTAGGGTAGAAGCGATAAAGGGATGAAAAAGTCAAATTATGGATATATTTTGAAGGTAGACCTAAAGGATTAACTGCTGCATGAGATGGTAGGAAGGAGTGAAGGATAAGTGAGCAATTGGAAGAATAGAGTTGTCAATAACTGAGAAGGTGGAGATCAGAATAGCACAAATTTGAGGTGGGGGTTTAGGAGCTCAGATAACACATTAGGTTTGAGATGTCTGTTTAGAAATCCAAGCATAGGTGTTGAGTAAGCAATTTGACACTTGAGTCTGGAATTTAGGGGGTACCTAAAAACAACTGTGAGCGTTACCAGCATATAGATGTTATGCCAAGCCATGAGACGAGGTGGGATCACATAGAGGTGAGTATAGACAAGGGAAGACATTTAAAGACTAGCAAGGACATTTAATAACATGGGATGAGAGTCAGCACAGTGTTTCAGTTTTCCAGAGTTGGGCAAGATTTTGCCAAAAAAATTTGATTCTGCTCTTTCCTAAAATCATAGGTACACATGAATCCCATTGGGTATTGTTATGGGACTGAGAGGAGAGAATAATCAGGCCAATTATTGAAGGGACATATTTGTGTACAAACAAGTCTGAAAGCAGGACACATCGTGAATGGGGAGGAAAAGGAGAAGTACTCAAATTTGTTTATGGTTAAATGTGCTGTTTATTCTAGAGAGCTATATGTCCAAGAACTCTGAAGATGAGGAGCTAGCTAAAGAATCAAAGCGGTCAGTTCGAAAGCGGGGTCGAAGTGCAGATGAGTATTCAGAAGCAGAAGAGGGAGACAAACCATCCCGAAAACGGCTACACCGGATTGAGACAGACGAGGAGGAGAGTTGTGACAATGTTCATGGAGATGCAGATGAGCCTGCCCGTGATAGCCAGCCCAGGGTCCTGCCCTCAGAACAGGAAAGCACCAAGAAGCCCTATCGGATAGACAGTGATGAGGAAGAGGACTTTGAAAATGTAGGCAAGGTGGGAAGCCCATTGGACTATAGCTTAGTGGACTTACCTTCCACCAATGGACAGAGTCCTGGCAAAGCCATTGAGAATTTGATTGGCAAGCCAGCTGAGAAGCCTCAGACCCCCAAGGACAACAGCACAGCCAGTGCAAGCCTGGCCCCCAATGGGACAAGTGGTGGGCAGGAGGCAGGGGCACCAGAAGAGGACGAAGATGAGCTTTTGAGAGTGACTGACCTTGTTGATTACGTCTGTAACAGTGAACAGTTATAAGACTTTTTTTCCATTTTTGTGCTAATTTATTCCACGGTAGCTCTCACACCAGCGGGCCAGTTATTAAAAGCGGTTTTATTTTTCCTAGAAAACTCCACTACAGAATGACTTTTTAGAAGAAAAATTTCAACAAACCCTGAAGTCTTTCTGTGAAGTGACCAGTTTTGAACTTTGAAGAAAAATAATTGCTGTAAATTCCTTTTGATTTTCTTTTTCCAAGTCCATGGTCCTTGGTAATTTCATTCATGGAAAAAAAAATCTTATAATAACAACAAAGATTTGTATATTTTTGACTTTATATTTCCTGAGCTCTCCTGACTTTGTGAAAAAGGGTGGATAAAGAATGCATTCCGGATCTGCGAGGGCCGAAAACAGAATTAGGGGTGGGAGAAAGCACTTGTGCTTTAGCTTTTTCATATTAAATATATATTATATTTAAACATTCATGGCATAGATGATGATTAACAGACTGTTTAAAAGTTCAAGTCTGTGTTGTTGCAGTTTGAGAATTGTAGATAACATCATACGTAAGTCATTTAGTAGCAGCATTCATGAATCAACTTGTTTACTATTGGAGATAACCACACTTAATAAAGAAGAGTCCAAAAGGGTACCATCCTAAAAAAAAAAACCCTCTAAGTTTGGTATAGCAGAGTTTCTTGTTTTAAAAAAATCATCTGAAAAGTATTTGTACAGTAAAATGTAAAATGAAGCTTTGACAACCAGATTGTGCTACCAACAAATTTAAAACAGCTTTATGCAGTGATGATGAGGTGGCCTCTAATGTACTATCATGGAAAGTTATTAGTGAAATGAGTGTAGTCTTTTAAGGCCCAGTGGACTGTAAACTTTGCAGATAGTGTAACTCTTTTGTTCTGGCCACCTATTTAAATATATAAAATATCATTTTGAAACAAATACATCTATACATAACATACAGGAAGAGATGCTAAGCTGATAGTGGTATTTTAGCACATTTGAAGAAGGGGAAAGGATTTTCAGGTGAATTTTTAACTGGTTTATTCTTGCCCTTAGTATCTACTTCAAATTGAAGTCTACAAACAAAGCAGTTCCTTTGGGAGATTTTTAGTTTGAGTTTTAGCGTGTGTGTGTGTGTGTGTGTGCGTGCGTGTGTGTGTGTGTGTGTGTGTGTGTGTTGTACTTTCTTATCTGCCTGGATATATTAGCAGGGTTTGAATGTAGTTTTTGCCTTTGGCTATTAGACTTCTATTAAAATTCATTAATAGTCACATGACCAACATAGAGTTGATTGAGAACACCAATGTACTTAATAGGCATGACATCCATTTCAAACGTCTCAACACTTAAAAAAAAAAGTTAAGCCCTTTGTTTCAAGAAAAGGGGTTTGTATCTAACATGTAATTGACACTAAAATATGAGCTTTGTCTTAGTTTGTGGTACAGCTGTAAAATTTCAGGCAGAGCCATAAATAACATTGTACAAAGTGTAGCACTTGTGATTAAACCTTGCCTGTCAAATTCTGAAACCTTCAGCCATTACTTCTGTGAATACTCTTGCCCTGGGATTTGGGTTTTTCTGTTCCAGTGTTGTGTCTGTTGCCGGCAATGGACACACCATATCTGCTGCTGGCCCAAGAACTTCATTAATTTTCCTTTCCAAATTAAGCATATGTGCTAGTCAGTGTATAGTAAAGCACTTCTCTTTTTTATTATTAAAAAGCTGGCATTAGATTTGCATTATAAATACCTCTCTAGAAACTTTATACTCCTTCTTTTCCCTCCTCAACAGGTGTTGCCCTTAAATCTTATCTTTTTGACCTTGAAAGTTTATAGCTGTTGTTTTCCAGTTATTGGTTCTTTTATTTGTTTTGTTTCGCTTTAGTTCTGTAGTACCTGCCCATTAATATTTTTGCGTTGATTCTAGCAATGTATATGTATCTGTATAAAAAATAAAATAATGAAAGCAGCCCAAAAATAGGGTGCACACATAGCATGTGGTTCCAAGTAAGTTGTGATTTTTATTTTGAGACAATGTTCCACTGGAAGGGAGGGAATGGCTCACATTCACAGACAATAGAGCCGAGGCTCCTATATGTAAGGAGCCACATTCATTAACAAGCCTCCTTTCTAGTTAGGTTCCGGTTCTTTTATTTGGAAGTCTTAAGAATGTTAGCCTTTTTAAACAGTCAGGCCATAGAAGGATTCCCACTAGTGCAAGGTAAGTGGTTAGAATGTTCCAGTGGCCTATCCTGTTCCCAGTCTCCCTCTACTATTTTACTGGTAGTCCTGCAAGCTGGTCAAGCCACTATGTGTGGAAACTCCCATGTGCCCTGTTTCTACCTCTGGACACACCAGCTCCTGCTTCCACCTATTCTGTTCAATTAAGCAAGTGATAAGTATTAAATGGGTAGATTATTTCTTTTACAGGACGCCTAATGTGAAATAAGGAGTTCTTTGTACTCTTGTGTTACAGAGAGCAAAAGGTAATTTTTTATCATTGTGAAGACTGAGTATTCATTCAGCAAATGACCCATTGATATGGGACATTATGATACCACTTTTGCTGCCCATTGTTTACCAAACTTGAATTGTTTGTGAAGTTGATAGTGTATTCCTTCTAACCTTACATTCTGATTAAACTAATTAACTTGCATTTACAAAGAATGTAATCCAAGCAGCTGATACTTATAAATTCTTATGCAGAGAGATTCATTATAAGTGATTAAATGTTGAACAGTTAAAAAATAACTCTGCTAATTGGTGTTTAGATTCAGTCCCTGAAAGAGTCTGTTCACTGAAATATTAACTCTGAACACACTTTGAGGAAGTTTTTAAAAATTAGGAAATAGCAAACATTTTATATCCCAAGACATAATTCAGTCATTAGGAACTGGACAGTGCATAGGAAAGCAGCAATTCATCTAGGGTATAGAACATCTTGAGTCCTTGTTATTGGAGTACTAACCATGGGTTTAGGTTCACAATAGACTCATTTAATACTTTAATCCCCCTTTTTTGAAATACAATTTGGATTCCTGATATAAAACTCCATCGTGTAAAGCAAATGTATTAACGGGAGATGTAGTTTAGTACTCAGGCTATGTAGTTTGCAGTTTCTGTAAAGGTTTGAAAATGAGCCAAATTGTCATAAAGTAGAGGCTTTTAATTATGTGAAAAAATTCAGACTGAAAATATACCTTTTGGTTTTATAGATTTGTGCTGATGAAATAGTGTTCTGTGTAAAACGTTTTCCACTGTTGGGACATTACTAGAGAATGATGGCAGGGATACTTTCTAGAATACACCTGATATATTGAGGTTGGGTTTCCTGGACACATCTTTTTCCATTTGGTTAAGATGGCAAATTCAGAGAGTAAAGAGCTTCATTTAGAATCAATTCACGTCTACTGATAATCTTTTAATAAGTTTGACCTGCCAAAGAACCAAGGACTTCAAATGATGAGGAAGCTGTTGCAAAAAGATTTTTAAACTAATTTTAAAAGGATATAAACTCCAGTTTTCATTTTCTAGTTGATAGGACCCATCCCATAATATGTGTTTTGAGCAAAGTACATATAGTAAAGAAAATATAGAAGTTTACTTGTTATTTAGAGGTAAAATGGGAAAATGTTAGCTATTTTTAAGTGGGGCTGATGGGATTTCCTTTGTCATAAGGAATGCTTTTTTAGCTTATGTTTGTGGGGCTGAGAATTGTTCACCATTCGCTAGTTTGTACTACCATACAACTGAAAGGAACCTAATGAATCTTCAAGTTTCACACTCAGAAAACGTTGTGAACTCTGCCTTTCCCCAACACGATGGAACAGGCCATAATTCATGGCATTTCCTCACAGCTGTAGGTCTTTTTTTTTTATGGAATGAATATATATATATATAAATATATATATATAAACATGTATACATACTTTAGATATTAGGATAAAAATGAATCCTATGAAATCATTGACACAAATCAGATAAACAATTATAACTGATATGAAATTATGAACATTTAATTACAGAAAGTCTAGAGCAGCGGTTCTCAACCTGTGGGTCGTGATCCCTTTGGGGGTCAAACGACCCTTTCACATCACCTAAGACCATCGGAAAACACATATATAATTACATATTGTTTTTGTGATTAATCATTATGCTTTAATTATGTTCAATTTGTAACAATGAAATTGGGGGTCACCACAACATGAGGAACTGTATTAAAGGGTTGTGGCATTAGGAAGGTTGAGAACCACTGGTCTAGAGGAAAGTTGTGAAGGTCCTTTTCTTGGTTTGACATTCTAAAAATATATTCCTGGTTCTCCCAAGAAGTGAGAATGCCAAAACTGCAGATCTGTTGTAATCTACCTGGTCCTCTGCTTAATATCTGTTATTAAACTTAGAACAAAATCCATTCCTATTTCATCCACCATTCCCAGTGTGTAGCTATAAACTACCTTGGAAGTGGCAAGCTAACTGCTGGTTTTCTTCATTGTTTTTATGCCAATCCTGAACGCGACGCCTTTTGCTATCAGTGTATTTAAACCGGGTTATTGTGTTATGTGTACACTTAGTTTGTTTTCAAAATATTTCACTCCAACGTAAATGATCATCTGACAGTTTTTGAGTGCCAAGAATTGCTAAGGAACTGTGTAACATGTGTTAAAGAGAGGGTTATTGCCCAGCAAGTGAGCAGTCGTTAAAAGCCAAAATGTAGTATGCTTGGTATATAAATACTTTAGATTGAACATGTAACACTTTTTATTCATATCAATTCTCTCAGAAATTTATTAGGATTTCATGAGTGGCTTTTTCTCCTCATTTTGGTCATGTAAGCTCAGTTTGTTTTTGTTTGTTTGTGTGCATTTTATATTTATACCATCTTGCTCTGGGAAATGCTGCAAACCCAGTTCTGGCACATTTAGTGATTTCAGTTAGTGAAGATGCTGTTTTTATTTTAATTACTTTAAGATGTCTATCCTATGCATAAGTTATATTAGAGGGCATAACAAATTATTAGATGTGTAGAGATGTTTTAATTAAGCTCTTTAGACATTTTGAATAAGAAAAAACATTTTTAAATGAACTACATTTGTGGTTTTTTTGCCAAACCGGTACAAGCTAGAAAATGCACTAAGGACTGAGTGACCCGCCTTGTTCATTTTGCCACTGGATAATGTAAGTTAAGAATGGAATTGTTAACCCTAACTATATGTTTTCTTAACTTTCATCAGCTTCTAAAGAAATCTAATTTAAGTGTTTGGGGTTTTGTTGGGCCTGTATTTATTGAGTTCTGGTCATAGACCAGGAGCCACATGTCATGCTTATGGATAGCCAGACACAGTCATGGGGAAACGTAATGGCTCAAGACCTTCTGAATCGTTTAACTTATTTTGTATGTTGCAAAAAAGAACAAAGTTTATTTTGCTTGAGAGTCACATTTTTATAACTGTACAGCTTTTAAGGGATGAGAAGTGGGAAAATACCCTAAAATAGGATGTAGATTTTTACAACTGTGTTTATGCTAGAACATCTACAGGTGCATTATGTAATTAAACCTAAAATTGTTTAAAAAGAATGTGTGCCATGGTCTTCTTCATTCTCCTGCCCTTTAGCAGAGTTGGTGCATATCAATACTGCCATGTGGACAAGCTTTGAAATTGGGCAAATAATCCTTGTCTCCAAAGTTTTAAGTTCATTGCATGAAAATTATACACACGCATAGACACAAATAAACACGCAGATCTAGTTTATGTCAATGTAAATGGACTTTTCTACTTTGAAACAGCTATAATGGCCCAAATTTTGTCAGTAAAGAGCATATTCTTAGAGTGTGATTTTTGTGATGCCTAACTAGGATATTGATAATGTTGGTCTGATGTTTTGTTCTTATCAAAGTAGCTTTTTCATAACAGTATCTGAATTGTAGCTCAACCAAACCTGCCAGGAGGTTTTGTATACAACTTGAAAGGGAGTGTCCTGTGCTGGGTTTGAGGGCAAGTGCGGGCAGAGTTTGGTTTCTTTTCAATCTGTAAAAGAAGGAAAAACTAGAATTGATCAATTTGGTTCTTGTTATTCAGTAGACTTAATTCTACAGGAACACTTGCTGGAGAATGGCAGGAAAGAGTATTAGCTTCGAATTCCAATTCCCTTATTTGATAAAAAGTATTTTGTTGTCTTGTAGAGCTGCCAATTCTAGCAGTCTCAATGGCACATTTTACCATAGTTTTATTAAGACTCTTTTGTTTAAATGCCAGTACTTTTGCCATCTGATGATTTTATCATTCTAATTTCTCACCTTTGTAGCACAAGTGTATTCTTGGAAAGCATTAAATTCATCTCCGTGTGTCATAATGTCTACCCAAGCTAACTTTATTGTCAGCTAATGTGGGACGTCAGTTTCTTGGCTATCCTTTCTGATCAGAGGTGAAGCCTGGGAATCGAATTTCCAGGTGAAGAATACAAATTCCAGATAAGAATTTGTAAATGGTATATGTAAGATTTTCATTTTGATTTTAAAGTAAGAGCTGGAATTCAGGGGTGTTTGCTCAGAAGGCCTCTTGGATTTTCAGACATGCTTATATGAAATGCTTTATTTTCCTATGCATAAGACAAATTATTCCTGGAACAGGTTCTCAGATGCTTTATTTTGTTTTTATGAGATGAGAGCTAAAGCAGAAGCTCCAAAATTAACAAACTGTTGAGGTAATCAGGAACGTGCTATTAGTCAAATAGAGGAAACTGGAGTGCTCTCTACCACATATATCATACTGCATGTGTGTGGGGGGGAGGGAAAA